CTCCGAAAAGCATGCTTTCGTGAGCCTGCGGGGCGCGCTTCACATTTTCCCCGGACGACCCTACGACACAATCCTACCTTCAACCGGTCAGAACGTCGTTGTTCTTGACGTCGCGCGAGAAAACCCTGTAAGAGTGAACTCCATACAAGCAGTAAGTTGGGCGGGTAAAATCGATCCAAGTGTGATTAATAATTTCATGGCACACGGTGAGCCTCGTAGCTCAATGGTAAAGCCTTCCCTGGTGTGTGGGTTCGACTCCCACAGAGGCCGCGACTTTTTCACCATTGGTTCAACTGAAAATCCTATTAGTTTGATGATATTGCATTTTTATTCAAGTAATAAATTTGATGGAGACATATATCGGTTAACATTTTGAAATGCCCAGCCTATATTGTACAATGAACACAAATAATGTTCCGTATTGAATAGCAGTCTCACTACGTTGCCAAAAGCGGTATCTGCGGTCGACTTGATTGTTTATGCTTACCTCACTGACTGATTAAACTTACTAGGAAATCCATTATGGGAGCAATTCTGATTCTTAAAGCTTCAGAATGTGTTTGATTTAAAGCTTCTGGGGGTCGGAATTAATCCCTTTAAGTAATCCCGTATGGTCTTGAAATTGGAAAAATGTATTTATAGAACAAGCGTCTGCAAATACTTAAAGTAGGGATATAATTCAACTTAGCCTATTGACTTAAATTTGTATGGCGTCTTAGATGGAATTAGCACAGACTGTATACACTGACGAATATATGTTGACTGCTAAGATAAATTACGTTCGAGAATAACAGACAGTAAAACTGAATTGAAATATGTTTTCAGGAAATATTCGTCAATCTTCGGAAACTGCATTCCACGATTGGTTGCAAGTTTATTTGTTCTGATGAAAATTGTTCACATGAGGTGAGTTCGAGAAAATGTGATTAAAATAAACTGGCAAAAAATCTCACCGAAGAAGGCTAACTCTGTTGATTTGGACCTCTGCGGACAACAAAATGCCAACTTGGAGATAATCCCAAATGTTCCTTCAGTACCAATAAGGCATTGTTTCAAGTCGACGCCCACAAGATCCTTCCTAGTATCGCCAAGGAACTTAAGCGTTTCGCCACTTGCGTTAACCTTTAAAGAAAAAAACGAACAAAATACCGTCAGGTGAATTTCAAGTAAAGCTGTATGTGATCCTATTTGCTATTAAATATCAGGTTTCGAAGATAAATGTTCATTTAGATATTGATCCTTGTGGGCAAGCGATCAGACTTCGCATATATTTTACTTATGTATAAACAGGAAACGCTGCAATTGTTGACTTACTGCTTCAATGCCTGTAATTGCTGATCGGAAATCCGGATATTTGAGAGTCCTGATACCCCTTGCGTTAGTGGCTGCATTTCCTCCAAAACTACAAATTTCCCAGGAGCCAAGATCTATTGGGGGTATGAGATTGTACTGCGGGTCAGCAAGTATCTTATCCAGATCCGCAGGTACCACGCCGGCCTCGCATACAACGATGCCTTTATGGAAAGGTTCAGTCGAATCAGTGCATTTCAAATGATAGCATTTAAACACAAAATGTTTTTAAAATACTTATAATTAATCTATCTCATTAACTTTGTAAAAGCACATAAACTTTTGATGGCGTGTGATCGTTTTTACGAACTTTTAAAATTAAGATCTACATCTCAATATACAAGTTAACCGACGTCAGACAAAGTAGTAAAGCCACAGTATTTAAGAAAATCCGACACATCGGCTCCTTACAAAACTCTAGATATTTGCCTATGGTTTCGAAGAAACAAAACCTAAAAACGTTTACAAACACTACTAAAGATACTAAGAACGTGTCCAGCGGAGATAACGGACAGTGTAATTGCAAATGGCAAGTACTATTTTGGACTTGGGACAGCCCCACGTATCTTTAACCTATAACCAGATCTATGAATGGCCTACAGAGGAGATATAAATGGAAGTCCTCACTGTTAACCTTTTAGATCTCCGTCCCTTACCCGAGGCGTGATCAACAGAGTAAAACTCAAGTCTCGACTGCGAGTTTAATGCATTCCACATCACCATAACCGAAGCGCTTTTTAAAAGCAGAATAGACCAACCATTTTAAGATTTATTAATTCTGCAAGGTCAGCTCTGACAAAGACTTTGCTTTCTAGTGACTTATCCTGATCTAATACCGACAAGACCGCGAGCTCGTAGCTCAATGGTTAGGACGTTTGCCTCTGACTGGAGAGACGCGAGTTCTTAACTCGAGTGTGGTAGCAATTTCAGCGGCAACGCTGGAGTTAGGTATCACTAGCTGACGACAGCTAATGAGCCAGAAATGGCCATTCTAGTGTCCCATGTCTTTGTCGATAATGTCCTTCTGCATATACACTAATATATCCCAACAGTTAATAGTTGTAGCATGCAAATTGAACGTTAAGTGATTGGAATTACACACAAGGAACACAAGTAAATGCAAAAGCACCACACACGCCCGTGCACAGCGTTTGACATCCCCATTAAAGTGTCTGCGTCGTCTCAGTTATGTGCACTCTACCTCAATTTCCACATTTAGAGCTAAGGCGTACGAGCCTTAGAGATTGAACAACAGTTTAAATGTTAGAAAAATGGACTGGCATAAGTATGGCTAGATCAGAACATTATGTTGCGTATGTACCTATGCCTGAAAGCCAACACTGCTGCCCAGCGTCTTGTTCAAGGTTCACTGCCTCAAGGTCATGCAACTTCACAGCGAGCGATTTCCGA